ACTACTGCTGCAATACTCTGCTAGGGGTTAATCTCCAAACCCTAACAAATGCTATCTCATATTCTTACAAAAATCATTCCCACACTGTAAGACACAGGATTTCCCTGCTTTAATGCTACATATTGTATTTGGATTTTGTACACAATAAACATATTTGTATTTATATCTGTGCATGTCCATAGACATTATTGTTAAACATGGTACTGTTTATTGGGGACTTGACCTTCACAGTATTAGGTCTACTATAAATGAATTGGAGAAATACAGATGATCACTAAATGGCAGTGAAGAGATATAAACTAACTCTTTGTTCCTCTTTAATGGTCATCCAAATTTTTGCAGCTCAGAAAGGCCTAATTTTATAAAGAGTATCTGAGAATAAAAAGTTATTGGCAATCCATGCAAAAAATGAAACTGAAACCTTTGGATCATCTACAAGTAAACAAGATAAAATAAAATGGAAACAATTCTGTCAGTTCTATGATAACTTCCCTCATCTAAACTATTTGAGGCAATGTTGCCCCTTCATTGGCATGAAGATCGGTGTCAAAGGGAAATCAACTTTTACAGCCAGACAGCAAAATCTGGCTGGACATCTTTGAAGTCATTGAAGGTAAAAGAACGTGATCTCCGTCGAAGAGCCGAACAGCCTAAAGGTCTGCAATGGAGTAAGTCTAAGTAAAGGTTAGACTTTAAGAAGCGTGGATAACTGTCTTGTTCCATCAGGGCATAAATTTTGTTCTGCGCAGCATCAAACGTATTGTGCGTTGGATGAACCATATTCTGATTTACAGAGACTTTGGTATTAAAATCAAGGTTGACCTAGAGAAAAAGAAGAAACCATTTGATAAAATGGATGGTTGTTGGTTGTTCTCAATCTTTCCATTTAAGGTATTAACTTCCTATCCTATACATTCTTACCCAAGTATTATAAAGAAATCTGCGACATTCAAATTTTATGAGAAGCCTGGTCAAGAAATGTGATGGGGATATTTTTAGTCTCATCCACACTCAAGTTTCAGTAATGAGTCCTCAGGGAGTTATATGTCAATTGGTATCTATTTGAGAAACTATAAACACCTGCCTGCAACACCTTGACAAGCTGGGTCTTTGCCTGGGATCACATGGCAGCTCTAACATACTATAAACAAGTGCAACATCTGCATTCTATATACTCTGAGGCACTTTCTGGAAATCAAATTTAAAGTGCTGAGCATCCATATGACAAGCACGTTCAACAAAACTGAAGTGGGGCACAGTAGATTTTCAGTGACAAGAAGTGTGTGCTCTTATTTTTCCCCCCTAAAAGTTGAACAGAGCACAGTAAAGCATTAACCATGTTCATCACTTATCTAATAGGATTTAAAATGGATACCTCCCCAGCTGTACTAATGTTATATTATTTTTGGAAGATGAATAGGGTTAGTTTTAATCTGTGTTAACTTTCCCAGGGAGGGAGAAAAAAATATTTCCATAACTTAGCTTGTTCAATTTATATGATCCCCCACTTGATTGGAATGTTCTAATCATTGCACAAATCATATAGTTCCTTAACATACCTTGACATAAAGTACTATGTAGCTGCTTTTCTTTCTTGAACACATTTCACATGATGGACATTTGATAATTAACTATAAATGGCATCTAAGCCAATACATGAAGTGTATGTGTATCAGTGGTGGGATTCAATTTTTTTTACTACTGATTCTGTGGGCGTGGCTTGTTGGGCGTGGCAGGGGAAGAATGCTTTAAAATCTCCAGTCAGAGGTGGTATTTGCTGGTTCTCTGAACTACTCAAAATTTCTGCTACTGGTTCTCCAGAACTGGTCAGAACCTGCTGAATACCACCTCTGATGTGTATATTTATTTACTACTATATGTAATTAATATGCAATCCTTAACTCTTTGCCTTTTGAACAAATCTGTAATTATTTTTTAAATCTGCTTAAAGCATCACAGTTATTATTCTGAATGCTGTACTTAAATTGGGGATTTCTTTTATTCATTTGTCTTATCTGAAATCTTGCCAATATGTTAATAATAACTTATATGAACTAATAACCACACCACTAAATATTGCTTTAGAGGACCAATGAAGAATAATTATTATACAATACAATAAAATAAAAAAAAATCTTATACAAATAGCAATAAAAATAGGCAGATAAAGTTCTTGGCAAGTGAATATCTTCATTCTTTATTGTTGTTTCACTTCTGGGATACTCTTGTAGTAAATAATCTTAACCATTTTCAGAGATTGATTCATTCCAAATGATATTCAATTGTACAAAATACAAAGCTATTGAAAATTTTCTTAAAAGTAAGTTTCCCCGTGTACACTGATTTTTGTTGGGAGCAAGAGCTGAGATTTAGGGGTGAGGTCAGGGGTGAGCTTCAAAAATTTTAGCAGAGGGTTCTCTGCTGGGTGGGCATGGACATGGCCTAATCGGCCTCCTGCACCACGGTGGGTGGGTGTTTTTGCCCTACCCTGGCTCTGGAGGCTTTCCTCAAGCCTCTAGGATGGTGAAACGGCCTCCCCAGGCTCCAGAGGCCCTCTGGAATCTGGAAACGGGCCCATTTCTGGCCTTCCTGAATTTCCAGGATACACATTTTTCACCCTCCCCAAGCCTCCCCGTGCACCCTGCACTTACCTGCATCCAAAATGGGCCGTGTGGGAACTCCTGGGAGGGTTGGGGTGGGATGGGTGAAGCCAGCCAGGAGTGAGATTTGGGGGTTCTCCAAACTGTGCAGAATCTTAGCTAGAGGATCTCCTGAACTCCTGCGAACCCCCAGCAGTCCACCCCTGGGTGGGGTGGAGGGCAGAAAAGTCATGTCATGGACAGGACCTTAACATCCTCTCCCTGCAGACATAATCTTTAAGGATTTAAAAGACCAATTGTGTTAAGAGAACTACTTTCTCTGTACCTCTTTTGGCGATTCTCTTTCAATAAATGTCTCATAAATTGTCTTTGCTTTGAGTGGAAGTTGTGTGGCATCTTTGCTTTTCCTATATTCTTCGCATGCCATCCAAAACTCAATGTTCTCTTCACTAAACTCACTTCTCAAAAACTTGATGAATGCATCTAAGCCAGCTACAAAATAAACAATATGTAATCAAAGAAACAGCAAATAAAACATGATGACATTTTTTTACTACCATTTTCAGTTAACTCTGTTACCAATTAACTCTCTCCCTAAATTACACATTTTTGTTATTTTTTTAAAGTCAGTCCTGGAAAAAACTGTGATTTGCATGGTAAATGATAAGCAAAAATAGTGTCCCAGACTATTCTTTCACTGTGTGGAAGTTCATTTTGAATAAATAAGAAAAGTTTTTGGAAGAATCAGAGCTTAATTTGAGAAAAGTAAATGCAGTTTTCAGTTGAAAAATATCTAATTTAAGGACAAACCCTAGATGTGAATGGACTGCCTGTCACTAAATATGGCAGATTATATTCTCCTTCTTCAGGCTGACAAAGTGGTGAAGCTGTGCACTTTTTCACACACAGCCTGTTCTCAGTAATTTTCAGGGGTTCCTGATACCATTGTGCAGTTTCAGCACTTCATCACCTTGAGGAAGGACAACGCTGTGCACCCGTTTTAGTAATAGGTAGTCCATTTATAAGTATGACTTCCCATTTAAATATAAGTTCGTGTTAAAGATAGAGGTAGGGGACAAAACTCCTTCTTAACTTGACGGTTCTCTGTAATAAATATGCCATATTCTTTCAATGTGGCCCTTGTGTGTGGTCTAAGAATGGACAGATTAGACTATTTAGATCAATGTCAATTTCAACTGGATTCATTTATATATTAATTATATATGCATATTCATTTGTAATTTCAAAAACATCCAGCTTCACATCCAGCACATATTTATTTCAACAACATCCCACTCATATTTATACTGGGTTTCTCACAAAATAAGGCTGGGCCTTATTTATTATTTTGAACCCCGAAAAAATGGCTAGGCTGTCTTTTCGTGGGTGACTTAATTCCCCCCCTTGCACCCTCAGGTGGGTGGGCGGTGATGGCTTAGATGTTGACCTTGGCATTGGTGGGGCACTTCATATCGGGAGACCTTCCACCACTGTTGCTTTCCCTTTTCCCATGCTGCCGCGGTGTTTAGAGCAGCGCCATGGCGTTTGGCACAGCCACACACGGCCAGCCAGGGCTCCTCCCTTCAACTGGAGACCAGCGAAGACACTCGGCTTCAGGAGATCCTGTCATCACCTTCCCTTCGCCTTCGAAGGCAAAGCCAATTCTTTTAAAAACGACGCCCTACTACTGGTACAACAAAGCCTCCCCTTCCCGAGAGGGCAGCCCAACCACACGTGGGGAGGTAAATCTCCCGGGGTCACAGCGTAGGATCGGCCCACTTCGGAAGAAGTGCCCAGCTGCCATCTCTGCCTGGCACCGGGCAGAGTGCGAAGAGCTTCACCTGGGGCGCCCAGTGCAGCTGACAGGTGGGCCCTCCTGCCTGGCGGTGGAGCTCTCACCAAGGCAGTGAGCGCCTCCCCTCTGAGCCCTCCGCTCATCATGCCAGGGCAACGCCAGAGCCGTGCGGGCTGGGCAGAGCCAGGAAAGCGAGGCGTGGGTGCATGCCCGCCTGCCAAGCGAAAGAGCCGGGCCGACCTGAGCTTGGCTTCCTTCCCAAGTCCCTCCAGCCCAAACCCGAAGGGGCCACTGGGAGAGGCTGACCGAGGCAGTGATAGCGCCCACCCGTCCACAGACAGGGAGGTGAGACAACGGCAGCGATGCTTCCCTGGCCGGTGGGTCTGGTGGAAAGAGCCTGAAGCCACCTATCCTTTCCACCCCTCACCCAGCCCGTCCCCATCCTCACGCATCTCCAAATGTGCCAGCAGCTCTAAATGCTGCAGCGGCATGGGCATCAGGCAGAGGTGCTGACTCGGCGGGGCTTAGCTTGGAGGAGGATGTGGCGCAGGCCGTCACCTTGCCTCCCTGTCTATGGATGGGTGAGCGCTATCACTGCCTCGGGTGGCCTCTCCGGGTAGTCCCTTTGGGTTTGGGCTGGAGGGACTTGGGAAGGAAGCCAAGCTCGGGTTGGCCCAGCTCATTCGCTTGGCAGGTGGGCGCGTGCCCATGGCTCGCTTTCCTGGCTCTGCCTAGCCCGCACAGCTCTGGTGCAGCCCTGGTGGGATGAGCAGAGGGCCTGGCAGGGAGGCGCTCACTGCCTTGGCGAGAGCTCTGCCACCGGGCAGGAGGGCCCAACTGTCAGCTGCTCTGGGCGCCCGAGGCGAAGCTCTTTGTGCTCTGCCTGGCACCAGGCAGGGATGGCGGCTGGGTGCTTCTCCTGGGGTGGGCCGATCCTGCGCTGCGACCCCGGGAGATTTGCCTCCCCACATGGGGTTGGGCTGCCCTCTTGGGCAGGGGAGGCTTTATCGTATCGGTAGTAGGGTGTCATTTTTAAAAGAATTGGCTTTGCCTTCGAAGGCGAAGGGAAGGCGGCAACAGGAGCACCTGAAGCCAAGTGTCTCTGCCAGGCTCCAGTTGTAGGGAGGAGCCCTGGCTGGCCACGTGTGTCTGGGCCAAATGCCACAGTGTTGCTCTAAATGCTGCGGCAGCACGGGGAGAAGGAAAAGCAACGGTGGCGGAAGGTCTCCCGATATGAACTGCCCTGCCAATGCTAAAGTCAACGCAGGCAGCACCATATCCGGGTATGCAACAAAAGTACTTCCTAATGGCAACCCCACCTGCCATTCCCCCCCATTTTGCATGTTTAATATAGGCCTTAATTTGGG